GACATCTTAAAAAGCTGACTCTTTACATATTCTCAATGACAGCTAAACTAGGTAAAAGATTTGGGTTTCTTAAGTTGGTCCTGATGTCCGCGCACAATGAACTCCTTTCCTGCTAATTGGAGGTTCTGTCTGGATGATGTTTGATGAGAGACTCCACCCAGGAGGTCAGGAGCATCACTGTCCATCACTCCTCCCTCCTGCCACCCACTGGGAGGCAAAGGAGGAGCAGGCATCTTTTGTAGATAGAAGATGCTCAAATCTCTGGCTTTCTGAAGTGTAGTGTTGGGAAATTCAAGTTATCTTCTTCACATTTTTTTCTCTCTCCTGTAGTGATCTGGCTTATCTAAAACAGTACCGTTGGTGTCTCAGATGTCCAGGATTTTAATATATATATATATTCATTTCTCTTCCTCCACCTCAAAAAAAATAAAAGTATTCAAATTATTGTTTAGTATCTGTTGGAGACTGGAAGGAACAAAGGAATGAAAGAAGGGAGGAAGAAGAAGGAAGGAAGGAAGGAAGGAAGGAAGGAAGGAAGGAAGGAAGGAAGGAAGGAGAGAAGAAAGAGAAACAAGAGGACTAAATCGTGAGGCTAAGAATGACATAGCTAATCAAGTACACTCTTTAGGCTAACTCTAAGGCATGTAATACTTTAACTAAGGCAGTCAGTCTCAGCCAGCTCAGTTGTCCTGTCCTGTGGATAAATAACGCATACTGTTTAGTGTGGTGTGGTGTTGACACCTGGTATGTACTAAGTGCTATGTGTCAACCTAAGTTCTTTATGTTTACATGAACTCCACAAGGTATTATGATTTTCTCCATTTTATTATTCTTGAAACTGCAGCATAGTGGTTAAGTAATTGGCTCTGATCACACAGCTGAAATTCAAACCCAAGCCCCTTAAGGGGGTGAATTTGCAACATTTACGATACATTAGGCAAGCATACCACCTTGGGCCTCCCACTAGTTTCAAAATATGTGGTAAATGAGCTGACCACATGAGGTGCTACTCAGAGGTGCTTCAAAGAACCAACAAAGAAAGAGTAAGCCAGGGCTGGGCACAGTAGTGCACGCCTACAACCGCAGCATGCAGGAGGAAGGAGTATTGTTGCAAGTTTGAGACCAGCCTGGGATACAAAGTGAACTCCAAGCAGGCAAGACAGCTCAGCAGACTAAGTGCTTGCTTAGGCAAGTGCAGGGACCTGGGTTTGATCCCTGGCACCACATGCTGCACCAGCCCTGGAACCCCTGGCACAGCCACTGAGACTAAGCATGATGGCACAGTGCTGGGGAGGCTGAAAGGAGGATCATGTGAGTCTGAGCTGTGCAGTGAGACCCTGTACCAAATACATAAAATAATAATACCAAAGTGAGCTGAAAGTTTGCCTGAACTGCATAGTGAGGCGCTGTTTTAAAAAGACAGAACAAGTATAATAAAAAAGAGCAAACCAAAGAAACCTCCCTGTTGACACTTGAAGGAAAGTCCATTAAAGCCTTTTGCCAAAGTTCCCCGTACAGGTGGAAATAGCTACTTGGAGGAGGTGGTGATGATGTCATCAGTGCCATTTTTTCTGTGACATCACTCATATAGTTAAGTACCTAAGGTACAAGGCATTTGAGAAGAAATATCTATAATCAGACTTCCAAATTAACTGGGGTGACAAGTAACACACCAGACAGCACAAGATAGGTGTGTGAGGTCTTGGGTTCAATTTCAATCCCAGGCCCCAGCAACACACACACACACACACACACACGCACACATACACACACATCACACAAATGTCTAATTCCATGATAAGATCTGATAGACTGGCTAACTAGTACCAAAGTCATGTTGGAAAAAGTGGCAAGAAGTGTCAGCTCTGAAATATAGAATGTGTGTGTGTGTGTGTGACAAGGTCTCACTGTAGCCCAGCTGGCCTTTGCCTCCCAGGTGCTGGGATGAAAGAGTGCACTACCATGCTCGGCTTGAAATACAGAATTCTGAAGGGACAAAAACGTTTGTATGTCACCTAATCCACTTCAACATTTCAAGACAAGTGCTAATAGCTTAACTGAGTTCATGCCCTGCGAAGTAGCAGAGGGTAGCAAGGTGAACAAGAAGCCTGGTGCAGCAAGTAGTCTTGGAAAACTCTTCGAAGGATGGGGAGAGTAGATGATGGCACATCAGATGAAAACAATGCATAATACTCTCCTTTCTTGAGTTTGCAAGACCAGCATTCATTCAGTTGATCTGATTTTTTTTTTTTTTTCCATGCCAGAAATCAAACCCAGGACCTTCCTTGCAAATACTAAACATATGCTTCTCTACTGAGCCACAGGCACCCTCAACCTCAAACTCATGATCCTCTTGCCTAATCCCCAAGTGCTGCGACTGTATAGGCATATGCCACCTTGCCTGGCCCTAATTTGACTATCAGACTGCAGAACAGTATATAGTGTTTGCACTGGGAGTTCAGGCTAGCATTTTTGTTTGTTTAAAGTCTACAAGTACTGAACTGCATATTCACTCCACCCACTGCTTCCATTCTAGGTGCTTTTACACGTGCTAAGTCACTGACTATCCTCAAACACATCCAGCTTGTGCAGGAGTACATGTCTCCTGTCATAAACTGGTAACATATCCACTTTAATGCTTCACCGCCAACATACTCTGATTGTCCATATATCCTGTAATACTCTGACGCAAATACTCTGTAATAATTGCTAATGTAAAATTGTCAGTCATCAGAAAACAGAAGCCAGACATGGAGGCCTGGACTAGTACTCCCAACAGGTAGGGGACGGAGGCAGGAGTTACCATGAATTTTAAGCCAGCCTGGGCTGAGTTCAGGATAAGCTTGACTGTAAGACTTCTCTTAAGGGCACCTAAGCATTAACTGATTGAATAATGTTTTTTCTAAAAAGTACAAAGCTATAAGAACGTTAGTGGTCAAGTTACAATAATATTGAATCCAGTTTTAATTAAGAATGCTTGGTAGCAGGGGCTGAGACAGGAGGATCACTGAGTCTGAACTGTGTAGTGAGACCCTATATCAAAAAAAAAAAAAAAATCTGAGAAAAAACTGTTGGTGGAACTCAAAAGAATTAAAGTCACTTAAAAGAAGTAAGGTTTTAATTTTTACTAGAAATATAAACCACTTCACTAACATGAAGCACACAGGAGGACAGTTTTATTTTCTTGTATTTTAAAATAACACTAGGGCCGGGGAGATGGCTCAGTGGAATAATCGCTTCCCTGGCAAGTGCAGGGGCCTGAGTTCAATCCCTGGTTCCGCAAAAAAATAAAATAACACTAGCCACGGTGGTATACACCTTTAATCCCGCCACTTTGGGAGGTCAAGGCCAAACTGGAGCAAAGTCTGGATAAATAAGCAACTCAGTGAAATCTTTCAAAATAAACAAACAAACAAACAAAAAATTTAAAGGGCTGAGGGTGTAGCTCAATGGAAAGCCCCTGGATTTGATAACAGTACCACAGAGTAACAGTAATAACAATTCCTATGGGTTTGGAAGCACAAGTTAAAACTAAGGTTAGTTTTTTTCTTAGAATTACTGTTAAAGATTATATTTTCAATTCCTCAAAAATTATTTAGTGTTTTATCCTCACTGATCAAAAATCATTCAAGTTAAACAAAAACTCAACAAGGCTATCTTTCATTACAGTTTAACTATCTTTACTTTGAAGTTTAGAACCTTAGCGTAGATGAGAGAAATAAGTAAAACGTTTCAAAAGAAGCAAATAAATCATAAACAATTAAGTTTTTAAAGTCATTTCCTAACAATAACAAAATGTACTTAAAAATACAAGTGCTATATACCTTTCTTAAAGCCATAGGCAAAATCTGTGTGGTTCCACACCACCACATAAAACCTTTTAAGTCTTAGTATTTCAGAGTTACAAAATATAGGCATTGGATTTACGCAGTCATGTCAAAGGGCTTTTCAGGGTCTTAGAAATTTCAGCACAGTGCAGAAAAGCTAAGAGTGAAAAAGTGATTTAAAAAAGAAAAACAGCAAAAAGCGAAGCTGTTGTGTTGCTGCCACACATCAAACTTTCTGAGAAATCCAAAACCATTTAACAGTTTCTCCACAACAAACAGAATGCCTTATGCATTTTGAATGCAATAATTTATTAGCATAGATTCTACTTACTTTGCTTTTTGCCATTTATAAGCTTCATTAAAAACACAAAGAAGTAACCAGTTGAATGAAGTTCACCGCAGAAAAGAAAACACAGTTATAAACTCGAACTATAAATTTACATCCCAGAATGTCAGGCGAGGAAGGAGCCTTTTACAAACTACCACTATATATACAAGAGTTTTAGATTGTGAAATACCGCACTTTGGTTTTCTGCTCTGTACAATTACACTTAACTCTACCCCTCCCCCGGAAAAAAAATTCACCTCGGTTGCTCATTGGCCCACATAGTTCCGGCCCACATGGTATCAGTGGGTGTGTCCGTCCTGGTAGGCCTTCTCATTGGCTGCGAAGAAACACTGTTTAAAAGGCTGTGATTTGGGGGTTGTCAAACTCCACGCCTCCAGACTTGAGCTCGCCAATAGACCCGCGACACTGGCTGTTACTCTGGGATTCAAAGGGCAAGCTGGTCGCCCGAGCTGCGACCCCAGAAAGACGTGCTTTAAGGGAGAAGTTAACTGGGCGGTGCTGCCTACTCTATTCCCACGCCTGGACTTCATCAAAGGCTCGCACAAGTGCATTTCCCAGCGAATAATTAAAAGGGCGGGTAGAGCGTTCGCCTTTCAGAGTCCGACTTAGGCACCTGGTCGAGCTCTGCGCCCAATAGACCCGTGCTGTGGCCATGACGAGAAAGGGGCAGGCTGAGCCGACCGTGTTTAGTGCTTGGCGGCGGGGAGGACGCAGGCCCGCGCTCCCCCGCGCAGTCCCTCGCTCGCGGCGCCAGCCCCCGCCGTACCCAGGCCCCGCGCGCTGCGCCCGTTTCGAGCCGGTGTTTTCCTTCCGGCAGGACTTACGCGGCCTGTTCTTCCTCCCCGAGTCCATCCTCCTCCGCAGCCGGCATTTCTTGGCTGGAGAGTCACGCTGAGGGAGCTGCGGCTGCGGCTGGAGCTCCGCCAGCAGCGGGAGGCGTGGGGGCGCCGCGTCGCCGCAGCCCGCGGGGCTTCGGCTGCAAGCGGGCGGCGGGTGGAAGCCGTTGTGCAGCAGTCCGTTCACCGCAGCGGCGCCGGTGTACACGGAGTCCCCCGGGGAGTGTGAGCCCTGGCGCTCCGGCTGCGCTCCGCGGTCCCCCATACCCGGGACTGACCGGGCAGCGAGCGGGCCTCGGCTCAGGAGGCCTCCCTGGAGGTCATTCTCGGGCGTCTTTATTTCTTCAGATCCTCCCTGCGCCTTCCGATTCGGCAGCCGCAAAGCCGGCGCCGGGGGGCAGTGAGCCAGGCGCTCCTCCCCTCCTCCCAGCGACTCCCCCATTTCCTCCGCGCCCTGCCCACTGCGCGCCCGCCCGCCCGCCCGCCGGGCCGCGCAGGTCTAGAACGTGCCGGCCCAGGGCGCCGAATCGGTGACCTCGCGCAGCCCTAGACAGGGACCCTGCGGCTCGCCTCCTGACCCCTAGGCCCTGCGACTTCAAGTGCAGCCTCCTTGCTTCGCAGACTTGTCCCCGCCACTGAGCATGCCCAGTCCTGCCCGCCACCTCCATCGACGAGTTTCAACATGGGGAATGAAGTTCTCTGGATTTGCAAAAAGGAGATGGGCGGGATGAGCTTTGTATGGTCTATCCTGCTTAAAGCTTACGGGGTGAGGTAGGCTCGAGGGAGCCAGCAGCGTCGGGAGAAATGGGAGAAGCCAAATATTTGTAGAGGTTTCAGGCTTGCTAATTCTGTCCCAAGTGGTCCAGATAGCCTTGCAAGGTCACTCATTGCCACCCCCCCCCGTGTGTGTGTGTGTGTGTGTGTGTGTGCGCGCGCGCGCGCGTGTGTGTATATTTAGTAAAGTGACCAAAGTACTCAGAGGACTAAAAGAAGAAAAGAGAACGATTAATTATAGAAAGGTAGGCCGACGTGAGTAGGGAAGGAAGCGAATTTCTTTGCCAGTGAGTGCATGGCACACACACACACACACACACACACACACACACACACATTCCCCTTGTGGTTTCACTGAGTTAATAGTCTTGCAGGAATGGAATACAGTGTTAAGGGCAATGAAGGGCAAAACAGGATTAACAAGTGTTGGAAAGAAACCTAGTAAACACAGGCAATCCCAAACTATATAAAGCTCTTTCCTCACCCAGAAAGAGGCAATGCCATGTTAATTATACAGCCAAGAGTTATCTCTGGTTGTATGAAAGGAAGGCAGCATCACATAGTGATGCACATCAAGGGCTTTGGAGTCAGCCCTGAGTTTCTGTTCCAACTCAGCCACAGAGCAAACCCAGACATTGCTCAACACACCTAGCATTAGCACACTGCACTGAGCGTGCTCAAGAGACAGGACAAATTTGGGTGGTGAGAATTTTAGGAAAGTTATGTCATGGCTTGAGGCCTCCCCCTTTGCATCCAGAGCAGGGCTGTTGTGAGGGAATTCATCCAAAAGTACCTCGTTCAATCTTGATACACAGTAAATGCTCACAGAAATGTTATGCAGAATTACAGGAGATCATTGTTTTAGATTAACTTACTGCACACACCAGGCTAAAAAATTAAAATAGAATCATCCACCCAAAAGTTCCTAGTCACCAAGTGAAACTAAGCAATTGATATGACCTTCCAAGAAATCTGGGTTAGAGATACAAACTTCCCAAAATTGCCAGCTTCAATTGGTAAGATAATAAAGTGCCTTAAAGGCAAAAGAAGTAACCAAAACTAAGTTGATGTTAGCCTGTTTGGTGGCAAATGCCTTAATCCCCGCTATTTGAGAGGTTGAGGTGAAAAGATGGCAAATTCAAGGGCAGTCTGGACAATTTAGTAAGACCACAAAGGAAGGGTGATGGAGCTCAAGAGCAAGCACTGCCATGCATCCACTATGCAGAGTCCAGGACTGTAGGAATAAAAGTGATTTCATACTGACTACAAGTCATTTTTCTATTCTTTTGTCTCTTGTGCCCATCTTAGCAAGAACATAGCGTTGAAATGATCAACATACTTTTTACTTCTGCTTTCTTTAACCCCTTCTCTGTCTGCAGAACTAACCTCCTCCTCTTAGTCCATTAGAACTATTCTGTTTTATGTAGTGAAGTGTTGCCCAATTCTAGAATTAAAAATAAAGATCATTAAATACATTGCTGATGATGTAGGCCTGTAATCCCAGCACTTAGGAGGCTGAGGCAGGATTGTAGCAAGTGTAAAGCCATTCTGGGCTATATAGTGAGTTCCAGACCAGCCTAGATTACAGACTGACTCTGTCTCAAAAATAAAGTAAGTTTGGTCCATTGGCAGGAGTTATTATCTTTATTATATGGTTATTATTAGCAGTGCACCCTTCCTTTTAAGTGAAGAGAACAAACTATGCTCATATCAATATTCACTGGGTGTGGGCTGGTGAGATGGCTTAGTGGTCTAAAGCACCTACTTAGAACAAGCTTAGCAAAGCACAGGGACCGCGGTTCAATCCCCCAGCACCACATGCCAGCCAGCCCCGCCCCCTGGTGGGCTGAGCTGGACACACACACACACATAAATAAATAAAATTTTTTAAAAAAAATTCACTGGGTGGTTTATTGTGCGAAACATAAATTTTTTTAGTCTACAATGGGTCAGAGGCTTCCAAAGACTGGCTGGCCACTGAGTTCTTGGACCTTTGGCCCTTAGTTCATTCATCAGTGTCCAGGGTTTACATCCTGGTCTAGCACTCCCAGCAGACCTTGACTCAGAGCTTTAGATCCACTGGAACCACCTGAGAGCTCTGGTCCATCCACTTTTATCAACCACCGCCCTAAGGATATGGAGCCCCAGAGAAATGGCTGAGGATATTATGGGCAATGGTAGGACATGAATCTCAACTCTGACCCTGAATCTCAGCTCTCTCCATTTTGCTTACTTTACCGTAATATGTGGAGGTATAGAGAAAGAAGCCTGGAGAGCTGGCTGCTACCTGCCTCTCCTGCCTCCTTCTGGGCTTTCAGTGCTGCTTTCAGAGGCAGCTTGCACCTGTTGTTTCTCTTGTTCGCAGTTCTGCAAGCTCAGACACCATTTATCTAGCAAACTCCAGCCCATCCTTTAGATCTCTATTCTCACCTCTCCTGTTGAGAGAAAATTCTTTGATCCTGAGGACTATACATTAGGTCTTCCTGTTATTTTTTAAAATTCCTATATTCCCTTCATGCCTCTTTATCAGTTCCTAAATATAAGATATATAAAATGCATCTGTGCTCTCACTTGTAAATGGTCGTAGTAACATGACATGACTGAGTTATTACAATGATTAAGTGAATTAATATATGTAAAGTGCCTACACATTACGTGAAACTGCTGTGTATAATTTGCTTGCTGTCTCCCTACCAACTGCTCCTCCCTGCATCCCTAGGAAGCTCTCAGTAATTATGTGAATGAAGAAGTGACTTAGATGGTATTTCTCCCAGGTGCTCTCCTACTTTGTTTTGTAGATTTGCTAAAAATTGACACTAACCCTCCTCAACAATACAATATATAGTTTTCAAATTTTCACATAACTGAGCTGAATTGTTTAAGAAGCAGCTTACACCAGAGATGCAAGAAGAAACTTTAGCACTGCAGCATCTCCAAGGTCATACTCTGTCAAGCTGGAGTAGCTGGCATGGTGAGGGAGGATGAGGCAGCTGTTTCTGCCCCAGGTAGGTCGGAAATACTGGAACAGGGGACCAAACATTTGTCACCTGCTTCCTTTCTCTCACTCTTGTCATGATTCTGCCCTGCATCAGTTATACCCAGAATGTGATAGGGCGGAAGCCAGGTGGCATCTCACAGGAGTTGTTCAGGGGTATGAGTAGGAGGTATGGCTTTGAGGCAAGAGCTCTCAGAAAGGACATGGAAGAAATAACGTCTGGTAGAAAATGAGGGAAGAGAGAACCCACAAGCAACTTCTGTCCTTGTTCTCTACTCATTAATTTAGCAATAATTTATTAAGTATGTACCTTGTTTTAGACATTAAAACAGGGTTGGGGCTACAAACGCAAAATAAATGTCTTCAAGTGTAGGAGGCCATAAACTGGTATCCATTCTATTCCCCTGCTGAGTTAAGTTTATGGTTCTTCTCACCCCGCCTATTTCCCATAAGTCTCCTGCTATGCCCCGGAGGTGGGACTTCCTGTCATAGTCCTGTTGCCTAGTTCCTCGCGTTTTTTTTTTTACCCGCTGACGTCATTTCCCTATGCCTCCACTATATATACCCAGCACCTCCCCTAAATAAATGGGACTTGATCAGAATCCTGTCTTGTCCTCATTTCTCTTCTCTCCTGTCCTTTGTCCCCTCTTCAATTCCCCGCTCCTCCCCCAGGTGACCTTCGTTGACTGACCCGCTGAATCGGGACAAGTGGCGCCCAGCGAGTGGGGCATCTGGTACGGAGGATACAGCGACGGAAGCGTCGGAGAGAGTGCGCGCAAGAGAAAGCCACTAAAAGCCGGCAAGAGAGTAAAAGATACAAAAGAGAATGAAAGAGGCCTGCCTGCGACGTCTGAACCTCGGTAAGCGGAGGGCACCCCTTTCCCCTTTCCGTTGACAATGGACAGGCATTAAGTGAATGAGATATATAGAAAGTTTGAGTAAAGCATTAAAGGCACGGAGAGTAAAGGTTAAAATTAAGGATTATGATAAGACTTTTGGACCTAAAAAGGTCCCAGTGATACAGGGAAGTAAAACTCCAGAGCTCATGTTCTCTAAAACCGGGGGGTGGATTTTGGGAACAAACGGTGGTTGAGAGTAAAATGTTTGATTGGGAAGAAAGGCTTCTGTCTCAGAGAGGACAGAAGGGGGACCCAAGCAGGTTGCCCAGGAAGATGTCTTTTTCAGTTTATTTTTATAGAGCAAAACCATGCAGGGTTAAGGTAGAGAGGAAGGGGTCTCGCTTAGGTGGATGTGGGGTGGGACAAAGCTATGGTCAACCAATGGGATTGCAAGCACCATTGCTCAGGTAAAGTTGATTATGCCCAGGCCCAAATGAGGGCTGGGCTGGTGACTCACTTAGGTCATTTTAGGTGATTGATACCTATTTAGAATATCAATCCCAGGTGCTACTTTTTTAGCATTTGTTTGGCCTTTAGGTCTTTTAGGTCTGGCTCACAGCAGGAGCATCCCTCCCTCCCACAGTTGCAAGATAACTTGTCTTTTGTGCTGTCTCCTTCAAAGGCCTTTCCCTGTCTGACTGCCTATTAATATTTCTATCTAATTGGGTACCTATAACACCAGTTACAGCCTTTTCCTACTGGAATTTAATTGATAAAATCTTATCCCAGAGACACTATGATCCGGTTGTTGCTAATGTGATAAAAAAGGTGAAAATATACTACAGGAACAAAAAGGTAAAACCCATCTTAAAGGACAGAGAATCTCCTAAGGGTATATGCCCTAAAGGAACAGAATCTTGAAATCAAAACCAGGAAGCCAGATTTATGTTGAGAATAAAGAGCAAGGAGCCCAGCAGGAGGATTTAAAATGCTTGGCCAGAAAGAAAGTGCCAAGAAAGCTGTAGACTGCGAAGATGGAGCTGAGAGGATCTCCATTGCCTCGAAGGAACCTGAGAATGGAAAGATGGTCTGAGGACATCACAGGAGGAGGCAGGTCTCCACCCTTCACAGTCTCCACCCTTTACAGCCTCAGAACTGCTAAGGTCAGGGACTTTGCCTTGAGGCAAAAGCCGCAGAGCCCCTGTTCCAGAATGACAGCAGCGGTTGCCCAATACGCAGCTATGGCTCCATACACCACAGCTATTTTAGAAATTGTGGCTGACAATTAGCTTACTCCCGAGGACTGGCAGGCATTAGCCAGAGCCACCCTCTCAGGGGGGATTATCTCCTATGGAA